AATAAAGGTAGACCCCATAGTATTTATCCCTGTGGTAATTTTGAGACATGAGAGAACTGGGATGGATATCCAGAATGGCAAAGCATCAGTTCTTGTTGGTGAGAGGGCTGGAAGACATGGCCTATGAGGGGTGTCTAAGGACACCAGGTTTGTCTCAGTTTGGAGAAAAGGAGACTGAGGGGAAACCCCATTACTCTCTACAGCTTCCTGAGGAGGGGATGTGGAGAGGGGAGGTGCTGATCTCCTCTCCCTGGGATCCCATGACAGGACATGTGGGAACGGTTCAAAGCTGCATCAGAGGAGGTTCAGACTAGATACTAGGAAACATTTCTGTACCAAGAGGGTGGTCAAATACTGGAACAAGCTTCCTAGAGATGTGGTCGATGCCTCATGCTTGTCAGTGTTTAAAGGCATTTGGACAATGCTTCTAATATGCTTTTAACTTTTGGTCAGCCCCGAAGTGCTTAGGCAGTTGGAGTAGATTGTTGTTGTAGGTCCCTCCCAGTTGCAACTGCTCTGTTCTGTTGTCAAATTTACACAGCAAGAAGTAATGTGCTCCAGTTCCTTTCCAGTGCCAGCTTTGGCCCAGCAACTCATGATGTTGCTCTGTTGCTATGCAGGGATGAACGTGAGCAGCAGTTCAGGAAACAGGCACTTCTGTCTTCCCTCATCTTTTTGCTGTTGGTAGAACAGGGTACATGGGATAGGCACGGTGGGATCTGTTCCTTAAACTGGGGGGACAAGTGAGTGAATATTGCTGTAGTCCTATTACGAAAGCTGGTGTCTTCTGGACTGCTGATAAAGCCCTCTGCTGAAAGTCTTTGGGTTTGGTACTGACGAGGGAGTCAAGAGTTGGAGCAGAACCTGGCCTTTAAGTAACTTTGTAGCTGTCACACCTATAATCTCTCATGAGAGACTTTTAAACATTGTTTTTACTGCTTTACTACCTTTTGTGTATATTTGCAGCTTCTAGAAGAGAAGAACATTCTTGCAGAACAGCTACAGGCTGAGACAGAGCTCTTTGCAGAAGCTGAGGAGATGAGGGCTCGCTTGGCTGCCAAAAAACAAGAGCTGGAAGAAATTCTCCATGATTTGGAGTCCAGGGTTGAGGAGGAAGAGGAAAGAAACCAAATATTGCAGAATGAGAAAAAGAAAATGCAGGGCCATATTCAGGTATGCCTTTTGGTAACTGGAAGTGAAAACACATGCAAATAGGACAGTTAAGGATGGGAAAGCTCCCTCAACATCTCTATGGCGCAGAGGAATTTAGCTCCTTAGCACCATGTGTGGAATAAAATCAATCTGAATTTTTCTCCCCTTCTCCTGTGCTTGGTACATTTAGCTTCTTGTGGTCTCCAGGCGTGAGCGTGAGAAAGAAAAAGAAAAGTCAGAATGCCCTGTTGGTAGCCATAGCGTATACAACCTATATTATATTAAAGGTAGCAAGCACTTTTGAGGGGGGAAGAACTGGGAATGACTGCATGGGACTTACCTGCTTTCTTATAGAAACAAAGACTGATGGGATGATGTCATTTATGAGAGAAATACTCCTTTTTGACCGAAATCCAGTGAATACCATGAAGAATATGCCTTCTTTGACTTTTACAAAACTAAGGCAACTTCATCTCCTCCAAGTGACTTGGGTGTTTTTTGTGAAAATTTTTTAGATGCTTCCTTTTGAATACACGGAGACCTGAGAGCTTATTGGTCTTTTAAAATATTCAAGGTACTTAAAGGGGAAATAAACCCCACATCTCCGAGCTCTTGATGCCTTTTAATAAGTGTCCATTAATGTGTGGCTGAGAATCTTATTTAAAACCATGAATGAATAGAAGCACCATACATTATTACTCTTCTAATCATATCTAGCTATTTGTGCCAATATCTGAACCATTTCAGCTGTAATATTGAGATCTAGATTCATATGGAAATCGGGAGATCTGATTCCTGTGGCGTCTCTTCCTAGACACCTGCACTTTTACACCAGATGCCCTGTTCTGATGCAGGAAGTATTTGACATAAAGCCTGATCTGATTTTGATGTCATTAAGTAGGTTTTTCTAAATTTTCTGTTCAGAATTAAGAAGGTGAAGGACTCTGAAGTCCGTGTATATTTCCTAGACAGCATATTTCAGCCCAAGCTGAAGTAGAGTATAAAAAATTCTGCGTGTATCACATGGCCCTTTATTTTGTTTTGTATATCATTGATGCAAATGAATCTAACAAAAAGCGAATGCATTTTTAGTGTAAGGGCAGGCTGCTTTTCAAAATAATGCTTTTTTTTTTTTACCAATTTAAAAAAAAAAAAAAATTAACATTTTCCAGGGTAACCTGGAAAATGCACAGATGCAATTGCCTTTCTTGCCAGGACCTGGAGGAACAGCTTGATGAGGAGGAGGGAGCTCGACAGAAGTTGCAGCTTGAAAAAGTGACAGCTGAAGCTAAGATCAAGAAGATGGAGGAAGAGATCCTACTGTTGGAGGACCAAAATTCCAAATTTTTGAAGGTGAGACCAGTATATGCAGTGGAGATTTTGCACATGGGTAATAGTACCATGTGATAGCGCTCAAAACATTTGAGACTGCTGTTACGTTAGCTGTAGAGTTTGCATGTGAAGACTTGTGGGGTTTGAACAGGTTGAACCTGAGACACTTAGAGCTTCTTTTAAACTGACCTCTAAAAGGGAGGTATTTGCCATGCATGCTTTCTAATTTAATGAGTCTTCCAAATCAAAGAGCTGGAAACCAATCACAGTTACCGTTGTTCTTTGCAAACAGATTTCCAGAAGTGTACAGCAAATGCTGTCCTAAAACCAGTCCTCCCGTGTGTTAAATTCCAAGTCTCACTTTCTTGGAAAACAAATGTTCATGTTTCTATACTATTCCAATTGATCTTTAATATTGATAAGCCAGTCACTTGAAATAAAATCTGTATTATATATGCTGTATGAGACCTCTGTATGGATTTTGTATATTCAGATATTTGTGCTGCTTAGAGACTCTTCAAACTGTATTTTAGAAGTTATTCTCTCTCCCCTTACTCCTAACTAGGAAAAGAAGCTGATGGAGGATCGAATTGCTGAATGTACTTCTCAGCTGGCTGAAGAAGAAGAAAAGGCCAAAAACCTGGCGAAACTCAAGAACAAGCAGGAAATGATGATCACTGATTTGGAAGGTTTGTTCTCACTACATTCGTCTATTAACAGCTTGGACATCATGCTAGAAGGGAATGGCTCACTCACTACAATGCATGCAGTATCTGGCCCAGTCTGCTAAGTGTAACCTTATATGTGGATACCTTAGTAGCTGTTAATTTTATCTAAATCTTGAAAGAAGCTTGTGTTGCTTGCAAGACGTGTGGCATTTGGCTGCTCAGTCTTTCTCATGTTTAACTAGTTAGTTTTTCATTTTTGAGAATCCATTTCATTTATAGACACACTTAGAAATTCATGTTGTTGCATGCATCCCTTGGTAACAAGGTAAAACATCTGCCTTTTGGGGAAGGTGCTACACTTCTCTTTAATAACACATTAGAACAATGTCTTTCTGGAATAATGTTAGTTAGTAGGCATTCATTGGCTTCGTATATTTTTTGAATAAGCAAATATGAATTGTTTTTCTTAATGCTTTGTTTATCTAAAATGATTCAATTCCTCTGGCCATTTATTTCTGATTGTTTTGCCTGTGTTGTCACATTTATGTAACCTTTCTTGATTTTTCTGGATTTTTTTGAATTACTTACGGCTGTAAATAGCTATATTGCAACATTGATAAACTACCAAGTCAAAAGGTGCAAAATGTAAGGCAAAGTTGCTCTCCGTGCCCTAATTTAGAAATAGTTTTTTCACTTACTGTATTATGGCCTGTCTTGCTACATATTTTAAAACTGATACTGTTATGGAAGAATACCAAAGTTCAATCTTATGTGTATAGAAAGGTATTGAACCGATAGGGATAGTAGATGATTGATGTACCTTTTCTTTAAAATTCATATTTAGAGACCTTAAGATGGGCTTAAGTAAGCTTTACTCACTGGAAAATAATGCTTGAGTAGTTGTGTGCTTATTTTCAGAAACACTAGTCCTGATTTACTTGACAGATGTTTGGTTATGGTACTGTTCCAAGACTGATGACCTTAGAAATGGAAATTAAAGCTTAAATACAAGGCATGCAATTTCTTGGCTAGTAAAGCACAGTAAAATGATACTTACTCTTTGAGATGATTCAAGAAGCCATTAAGGTCTCTCTGCTAGGGTCTTGGCACTGCTATATACTGAAATTTTGGGGGGGGAAGAACCCAACAAACCACTAATCAGTTCACTATGAGCTTTCTCAATTACAAAATTGGGTCTTGTGACACTGTTCTAACTCTCACTCACTAGAAATATAATGTAGAAACATAGGGAGAAGTGCTGTCTTTTTTGAATGAGGAACAGTTTAGACAAAGTGGTACCTTAGATTGTCTGGAAAATCCCAAATAGCACTGGGTGGCTCTAAGATGATTCTTGAACATAGTTCCCTTTCCATGTAGAAGATGATGTCCTGATCCAGTAGTAGGCTTAGGAAGGGTATGAGAGAAATCTCTGCAGTGAGGGACCCACAAAGTATTGAACAAGTCCAATAACTTACATTTATGCTAATGGATGTAGAATTGTGCTAATGACCTTCCTGTCACTTAAATATATTACATACCTGGTCACTAGCTAACTGTAAACAATGTAGCTGGTAACTATCCTAAAGAGACAGCAGGCAGATCACCTAAATGTGTTTTATTGCTATGGCACTGGCAACGGGATGGTTTTCACAAAGAAATACCCTAGGGCAGGACTATCTTGGCTACACAAAAAAAAATTACTGGAAGGTATCAGGGTTGCAAAGTCTTGTTAAATACCAATGGGATGTGAGTTAGTGGCAAAGACACTTGCAAAAATGGTTTATGTGAGTTTTCTTTAAGCGACACTATTTTCTAGTAAACCTTTTGGAGTCCAGCCTAGCCCTTCCAAAACTATGCAAGCCATCATTTTTTCCAGTCTGTAGTTGTTCTTCATTTTTGAATCCTGATGTCTGTGATTACCTGGCCTAGCAGCTCAGATTACTCTTCTGTTTGATCTCATTCCTTATTTTCTGTCAGGATGGGGTTATCTTTCTGTTCCCTTACTTCAAACTTTTTCTTCTGGTCACTGACTTTTTCTTGATTTTTCTTTCTAAATCATACAGATCTACTTTGCTATTTCATCTTTCCCAGTCACCTTTCTAGCTACAGGCTGTAGAAAGAACTGACACAGCATATATTAAACTTCCCACCCACCCTTCTTGCCACCGGACTGCACTGCCCCTGAACCTTCTGAGGATGACATGAGAGAAAATTGCTTGTAAATCTAATTCTTTCCTTCCTTAGAGCGCTTAAAAAAGGAGGAGAAGACCCGTCAAGAATTAGAAAAAGCTAAAAGAAAACTTGATGGTGAAACAACAGACCTACAGGACCAAATAGCGGAGCTGCAGGCCCAGATAGAAGAACTGAAGATCCAGCTGGCCAAGAAAGAGGAAGAACTGCAGGCTGCTCTTGCTAGGTCAGAGCATGATGGGGCTTATGACTACAGAAGTGTGGTAGAAACCTACTTTCCTAGACAGAATTTCATCTGACTGCAAACTTATCAGTTAGACTGGGAATGTTAAAACAGAAGCCAGTTCATGTTTGTACTGGAGCATCTCTAGACACCTGTGTGCTATGCGTAGATATGGAAAAAAAGAAATTCAGTCTTTTATCAGCATCCTTGCCCTGTAAAGCTCTGAAATCAGTGTTTTACTAGGGTGTAATAGCTTTTGGGCTCTGGAAGACTTTTTTAGGCTCTCAGGGTTCAGCCTCAGGAGGGGAAAAAACACGTAATTCTCAGAGACCCTTCTTAATGGTCAAAGTACTTGATAATGTATGTCCTACTCAATCATTGAAAAATATGTGTGGTAGTCTTGCAGCCATGTGTTTTTAATATAAACTAAATACCTTTTGTGTGTTTTGAGTAAAGATCCACAATTTTGCAGGAGGAGAAAATTCTGCAGATGGTACATTTTTGGGGTAGTGTTGAGATCTACAACTGGAATACTTTAATGTAAACTTGAAAGCTTGATTGTTCTAGTGTGCATCTGTAGTACCTTGGGCACTGTGCTGGTTAGGATCTTGAGAATAACAGTGCAGTAGTGCTTTTCTAGCTATGAAATTTTAGAAGGTCTGTTTTATTCTAGTGGAAAAGTTGACTTATCATTTGTGTACATAATTTAAATAACACTAGGCTGTTATGAGAATAGATCTGAAGTTACAAAATATCATCAACTGTTGTGCCTCTGTTTAACAGAGGTGATGAAGAAGCAGTTCAGAAAAACAATGCACTGAAAGTGATAAGAGAGTTGCAGGCTCAAATTGCAGAACTCCAGGAGGATCTTGAATCTGAAAAGGCATCACGCAACAAGGCGGAAAAGCAGAAAAGAGATTTAAGTGAAGAGTTGGAGGCTTTAAAAACTGAATTGGAAGATACCTTGGATACCACTGCAGCACAGCAGGAGCTGAGGTAGGATCATAATGTCTGTAGGAAGGCGTGATTAAAATTCATCTTTAATTTACCAAAAGACTAAAATGTTGATTTTTGATTGCCCTTGATGCTTCCTCCTAGGACAAAGAGAGAACAGGAGGTGGCTGAATTGAAGAAAGCAATTGAAGAGGAAACCAAAAACCATGAAGCACAGATCCAGGAAATCAGACAGAGGCATGCTACTGCCTTGGAAGAGCTCTCTGAGCAACTTGAACAGGCCAAAAGGGTGAGAAGAAAATGAATTCCAGAAATACATTTTTCTGCTTCAGGACTTTTATATAAGTAACATCAGTGTTGTGGTCCCTTCTACTGATATCTGCAGATCTAAGTTGTCCTCTGTACATGCATAACACTTCCAATTGAATCAAAGATATAGTTGCAATATGTTCAAACCAGCAGGATTAGACAGTTGGCCTCGATCTGAAAGGTGTTCATTAGACCTGGAAATGGTGTACCTAGAGATAAATTCATGTAGCACTTCTGTGGGAATTCTCCAGCAGCCCATGTGCTTATTTGGTGAAAAGCAGCTCTCTGCATGAACAAACTGCAGAATGCTTCTAAAGAAGGCAATTGTAATGTTGGCACTCACAAATAATGAACTGTGAGTACAGGTGGTGTAAAAATCCTTCCAGCTGCTCTTAACTTCATACTGGTACTGTGACCTCCAGTGCTAGAGATCTGTGGTGTATCATGCCAATTTACACAGCTGTATTGCATTCTCTGGTAACCAGCACTGGAGAAGGCAGGTGGAGGCACACCTGGATAGCGTTGTTCATGCTAGTGTAGCTTGAGTGTCTTGTTCAAAAGTAGAATTATTCCAACACTGCCCAAAAAAAAAAAGTATCTTTGGTTTGTGAAATTACAGTTCTGGTCATTCAAAAATGTATGTGTGGACAGCTCATCTACTGTAGTAGTATGTATATTTAGGGAATACTTCACAAGCTTCCTTAGTATGTTAAACTAGGTGAGAAACATAGTTAAAGCTGATGGAAATTACAGTTTATTCATCTGATGATCTTATGCATGTCTTTTGCTTATTCATTATATGTTCTCAATAAGAGCATGAAAAGATGGAAAAATACCCTGCAATCTTAAACAAAGGTCTTGTGATAAGGTGATGTCAGCTCTGGTGATATAATAAGAATGGCACTTAAACATTCCTTCTGCCAACTATTACTTTTTTAGAAAGGTTTTTGACAAATGTCAGTGCGGTGGTGAAAAGGGCTTTGTTATGCACTTCCGGGCTGCTATGCCGACTAAAATCAGGGCAGCTTTAGTTGATATCTTTCCTTTTATTTCTGTGAGATGAGCCGTGCTGATCTGTTAATAGGCACATTCCTTCCTACTTACAGTGCTACTCAAACAGTCATTTTACAGCACTGACATCCCAGATCTTGTTGAATTCATAGAAGCATCTTTTGGTCCTCACTGTTGCCTGTGATATCTGAGTGTGGAATAACTTGGATTAACTTAGTCTTTGGCTAACATACACAGAATGTTACACTGCAGCATTTTAAACACTCCCTCCTTACAACTTGCCAAGCACTTTTTTTATCTTTGAACTTGTAAACGACCTTTGCTGGATTGAACAGTTTTAGCAGAAAACTTTATGTTAACAAAATGTTAATATTTTTTTTCCTTTTGTTTTTCCTAGTTCAAAGCAAATCTTGAAAAAAACAAGCAAGGTCTAGAGTCCGACAACAAGGAGTTAGCCTGTGAAGTGAAGGTACTGCAGCAGGTCAAGGCAGAGTCTGAACATAAGAGGAAGAAGCTTGATGCTCAGGTACAAGAGCTAACTGCTAAGGTCACGGAAGGAGAAAGACTGAGGGTGGAACTGGCGGAGAAAGCTAACAAGCTGCAGGTAAGGCTGTATGGAAGTCCTAAACTGCTGGAAAATATGCAAGAAAGTAAAAGCTTTAACCGTATGCAGAAATGTTTGGGAGAAATTACTTTCAAAGATGCAGCTGGGTGTACAGGAACTGGGTCTGTAGTTGATGTGCGAAGTGATATCAGTCATGTATTCGTGGACTTGAGGGGCCTTAAAGTGGTGCTGTGCCTCAGGTGGAGATAGCTGGACAGCCAAGATGTTAATCGTGAGCTTCTTGGCTACATGATAATTATAGTGGCTTCTGAGTACACTGCTTCCCGTCCTGGAGACCAAATCCTGTGGAAGGCTGAGCTTATTTACAGGTGTGAGCAAAAAGGTACCGACTGATGATGGCCACAGGTTTGTTTTTGTGCATTAAAGCTGGGAGCTTGACAGATAGGGATTGCAAGTAAAGGCCTGTTCTCGTAAATCAAGCTAAAGTGCTTCAAAAAGGGAATGGCCCAGTTCTTTTGGGTGGAAAGCTTTTGGGCGGTCTTTCACTGTATATACAAGTAGCATAGTCTAAAATAGCAAGAGTTGGCACCTGGCAGTAACCTTTTCTCTAGGAGTGATGCTTTAAACCCATCTGATGCCCTGATAATCCCTGAATTAATGGTCCTGTAAAATACATGGTCCTGTACTTAAAAATGGCATTGAAGTATGAATGCAGATATTGGCATGACATGCTCTGCTAAATAGCATGCCTAACCCCTTGTTATGTTATACCCTTAAGTTCAAGATGGACATCCAACTTCAAGTTCCTAACCAAACTTGAGTACTTTTAGCTTGTTGTATCTCCTACTGGGATCTGTTGTTGTCTTGCCATACCTGGAATTTGTTGAGGTCTTATGTTCTGCAGTTCCAGCTCCCAGTGGGATGTAGGCTTTGCTTTGAGTCAGCTGCATGATGTTACATTTAGACCGCTTGCTTTGCAGAACGAGTTGGATAATGTCTCAAGTCTCCTGGAGGAAGCAGAGAAGAAAGGCATTAAGTTTGCCAAGGATGCGGCTAGCTTGGAATCTCAGCTTCAGGATACACAGGTGTGTGTGCAGTGAAGCTTGAACTTTGCACTGAAGCTTTGTTCCTCATTGAAATGCTAACTGCATAACAGAAAATACATTTTCATGCGTGGTTTGGAAAGTCCCTTGGGTAGAAGCTGTATTCCCAATTGAAGCCTAGTGAAATGCAATATATAATGACTGCTCAGCTACATGTGGAGCTAATTTTTCATTATCTAAGATTCACTACATGGTAGATTGTACCTTTTTTGTTTCTCTTTTATTTCTTAGTCTCTGTGGGAGATAAGTATTAAGTCAAAAAAACTTTTCCAAGTAGAATGATAATGTAAATAAGATCCTTGGGGTACATGAAAGGCACGAGGGACAATACCCTGTCTTTTAATGGCAGCTTAAGTTCTTAAAACTGCCAGTGTTTGTTTTTGAGTTAAATAATACAGCTTTATGCATGTATTCATCACTTAAATATACTCTTACTTTTTCCATGTATAAATATGCTAACAGTGACTACTTCAATAATGTTAATCACAATTGGCAAGGTTTGTGAGGAACAGGATGGTGGAGGGGGGATGGTGGTTACACCTTTTATTAGTTTCTATTGTTTCTATTGCCAAATTACAGCTGTCTTTAAACTGACCTTTATATTTAAGCAATGCAGCAAAACTTGGAAGCATGCTGCCATTGCAGGATTTGCTGCTATATATTCTTCCCAGGTGGTTTAAAACAGGGACTCTGTATGCTTGTCTGAAAGAAGAAAACCAATTTTGAAGGTCATCTCTGTGCTTGTCCCTTCAAAGATGGAAAAGTATATCCATTAACTTCTAGAACAGACAGTGGCATGGATTCCCTGATCAGAAATAGGCTTTATAAAGATTTAGGTCTGCTGAAAATAAATAAGCACTGCATTTTTGAAACCCCAAATATAGATGTCTTCATAAGCATGTCCTTGTAGAAAAATGCTGTGAGAAAAATAATTAAACCTGAAGCTCCTTATAGAGCAATGGAAGGTGGTAGCCAAGGCCACAGTTAACACACTATGAACCAAACTGAACTTTGAATATGGCTGTTTGTCTAACAGGAGCTGCTTCAGGAAGAAACCCGCCAGAAACTCAACCTGAGCAGCAGGATTAGGCAGCTGGAAGAGGAGAAGAACAACCTGCAAGAGCAGCAGGAAGAGGAAGAGGAGGCCAGAAAGAACTTGGAGAAACAGATGCTCGCCTTGCAGTCACAGGTAAGCTGCTGTAAATGGCACGACTTCTGTAAGGCCTACACATTCCAGATGAGATAAGGCCTACATGTTCCAGGTGTCCCAAACCTCTTGGAAAAATATCATGTAATTTTCACGTGTGCTAGACCACATTTCAGAATAAAATTTCCTGTGGTCTTTCTCTTGCAATAACGACTAGTACAGCAAACTGCAATGGGCAGGACTTTCCCCTGCTTAGTATCCTGCTAGCTCACAGTCTTTGTGTTACTTTAACTAGCAAGAACATATTTCTGGTTTTGTATTTTGGAGCCGAAGCCTTTCTTTCCTTCTTATGGAGCACTAAGGAACATTATTTTCATTTATTAAATTTCAGCTGGCTGATGCTAAGAAAAAGGTAGATGATGACTTGGGAACCATTGAAGGCTTGGAGGAAAATAAGAAGAAATTATTGAAGGACATGGAGTCCTTAAGCCAGCGCCTAGAGGAGAAGGCAATGGCTTATGACAAACTGGAAAAGACAAAGAATCGCCTGCAGCAAGAGCTGGATGACTTGATGGTAGATCTAGATCATCAGCGCCAGATTGTTTCTAACTTGGAGAAGAAGCAGAAGAAGTTTGATCAGGTACTGTAGTTGCTGTTATCTTGCTGCTTTGTATGATTTTTAAATGGCATCTCATTTATATTATTACTGCATAAATGAGCCTTGCATAAAGAAGGGTCTGACTAGTATACTGTGATTATTGATAAATCTTTCGTGAGCAGCTTGGCCTTTAAGAGTAACTTGTCACTTACAATTTCAGTGAGCTAAATGCCAGCTTTGGGTCTTGTTAGATCAAGTAATAAGCTCTTTATATACAAAAAGGAAATTACATTGGCACAAAAATTTAAGAGTATTACTGTAATCCCTCAAGATAGACTAAGAAAGCATGTGAAGACTGAAAGATGAAAATAATATAAAACTTGCTTAATCTTGATTAGTAGCTTGCTTTCCTCACCCCAGAGTAGCTTTAGCTGTTTTCTTACTAGCACTTTGATCAAGATTGAGAGACTAGACAGCTTCTGAAGGCCAGTTAAACCTAGAGCATTAACCACTTCATTGACTAAAACACCTGTGGCAGGAAGGACCTGATTATAGAACTTATGAGATGGATTAATTATTTCTTATGTTCAGATGCTGGCAGAAGAAAAGAACATTTCTGCCAGATATGCAGAGGAAAGAGATCGTGCTGAAGCAGAAGCAAGGGAGAAGGAAACCAAAGCACTGTCTCTGGCTCGGGCTTTGGAAGAAGCCCTGGAAGCTAAGGAAGAATTTGAAAGACAAAACAAACAGTTGCGTGCAGATATGGAAGACTTAATGAGCTCTAAAGATGATGTGGGCAAAAATGTAAGTACATTTCCACTCCCTGCCTGTTACACACTGCATAGGGCACAACACAGGAAAACTCCCTGGCTGGAGAAGTATATTTGACAGAAAAATAGAAGTTTTTGGAGCTGATATATAACCCAAAACTGGAGGAATTAATGCTCAGAAAACAAGGCTGGTCTTTATTAACATCAGGCCTCTTCAGAAGATGTGAAGACATGGAGAGCAGAAGCTGCTGGCCAAATGAGTAATGGCACCTGTGCTAGATTTAAGAGCTTGTCTCACTACTATTCTCTGTGACATTGTGCACAAGTCATCTCTCCAATTATCTGCATAGATGCTTGGGTTCTCTAACACAGACTTAGAGATGCTGCTCTGCCTGTGCTGATTCCTTGTCCAATTTGGAACAAATGCAGTGTACTGAGTTCATGTAATATCTTACTTTGCTGTGAACTGCTGATGGTGAGATATCTGGAGGGGAGAGGGTCTGATTAATGTTTGTGGCTTAGGTCCATGAGCTGGAGAAGTCAAAGAGAACTTTAGAGCAACAGGTTGAAGAGATGAGGACTCAGCTTGAGGAACTGGAAGATGAACTGCAGGCCACAGAAGATGCTAAACTTCGTTTGGAGGTGAACATGCAAGCTATGAAAGCCCAGTTTGAGAGAGATCTGCAAGCCAGAGATGAACAGAATGAAGAGAAAAAAAGGATGCTGGTTAAACAAGTATGTCTGTTTTACTGTACTTTATAGTGGGAAGGGTTTGGGGATCTTTTGCCAAAGCTCTGTGACTTCAGTGATAAATTGCTAGCAGAAAAACAAAACTCTTTGCTTAAAGATCCCATCCTATAGAAATCCCAAGCACTGATCTTTACAAACAATAGAGTGGGTCTTGTTGAGGACTGGCCACTGTCAACTGTTACTGTTAGTCTGTTACTGATGGTCATCCAAAACCACTCGACGTGCAAGCAGGGGGTTGGCTATTGCTGCGTGGGTGTATTTCAAGGACAGGGGTATGTTATATGGGCTTTCAAGCCCATCCTATTTGACGTACGGGAACAAATCAGTGGATGCCAAGAGGGACTGAAAAACTGTAATTAGGTGAACAGTTTCCTAAATTAAAATCATGGCAAAGATTCCAGATTTGCCAGACTCGAGAATTCTAGTAACACAAAGCAGATCAGAAGAGACTCAAAAAACACCTTTAAAATTTTATGCTTGTAAGAGAAGATGATTCTAAATCAACATTAAGCTTTAAGGAAAAGAACACCCAGTATTTCAGGATTTATCCCAAGAAAACAAAAATGTATAATTAAGAATCACCAATGTAGAAATCTCTTAGAAATAAACGTGGCCTGGAGGGCTTTTGAAGTTCACTGCAGTGCAAAATCGCTATTATCTTGCACTGGGCTAGAGCTCTTGACCTAGCATGAGGAGGGAGGCTTGCTTCAAACCAAAATATGCTCTTTCATGTTGGTAACGTGTGGCACTTCTGGCTCAGTTTTATTTTTGCATAAGTCTACCTTAGTTCGTGTTGGCTTGCTGCTTAGATACTTTTCTGTTTTGTTTTGAAAAAAGTTGTTGGTGTAAAAATACCAGTAGTACAGCTATTTCAAATGGAATGATTTCATTTTTTTTCTTGAGAAAATGAGGTGATTCTACTTATTTTCCTCTTAGTGGTTCAATCAGAATTAGTGACGTCTGCCCTAGAGTGATCCCTAATTGTGAATAGATGTGCTGGGCAAGAAGGTGATTGCTGAGTAGGTGAACAGATGGAATGGAAATGTTTCAGACATTTGAGTTACTGCCTTTTGTTTTCCTTTTTGTCAGTTCAGAGATCTCTGCTTCCAATTTGTGGATTTGGTTTTGCCATCTGCAGTGTCTTCTCATGTAGCTTGCATTCTGTAGTCTTGCTGAGCCTGCTAATGCCTTGATTTCACAGGTGCGAGAGCTGGAGGCAGAGCTGGAAGATGAGCGCAAACAGAGGGCTTTTGCTGTGGCAGCCAAGAAGAAAATGGAGATGGATCTGAAAGATCTGGAAGGTCAGATAGAAGCTGCAAACAAGGCTCGAGATGAAGCAATCAAACAGCTACGTAAGCTCCAGGTAGGCACAGCTTATCAACTGAGCTGCTTTCTCTCCCGATGATGGTCTGTCCAGGGTGTTGCTTGTCATTAAATACACTTGTAGCTTGAAGGCAAGAGGAGGATCAGACTCGTCTGTGCTGACACATGTCATAGAGTGTCTGGCCTGAACTTGTCACCTGCTCAAAACTCCTCTCATCCTTTTGTTCGTAAGGAGTTAAGGTTGTCTCCCTCTATTCAATAGTCATCTTTTTCTTTATTTCAACACTTTGCATAAGGGTTTACTGAGTATTGCTTTCTAGGCTGCATTTTTAAAATTCATGGTTGTTTGTATCTGAATTCACTGATTTGAGCTCAGGTCTTGTTGACTGCTGCTTCCTCAAGCTGAACTTTTTAAGGTATTTTCAGCCAAAAATGCTCCAGAGAAAAAGGAGGAGTAAATTTTAGTTGCTTTTAAAAAGCTCCAAGATGCCCATTCTTTTTAGTTTGGCAAGAAAAACTGAGTACTTGTGTCAAGGATTTATTTCCCATTGCCAGGAAAATATTCCACATTTAGTAGAGTTTGTTTTTGCCAAAGATTTTTAGTGCCATGGCCCAAAGCTGCAGGAGTATGAGGCCATGTAAAACATCATGTAAAGTACATGGCAAATTAAATTGCCTTTCTGCCCTGTCCACTTTCTTCCTTGGCAATCCTACTTTTAAATTCTACTTCAGCTGAATGGGGGAAATTCTGGGACTGACTCCAGGTGCTGAATGAGACGGGAATATAGGTTAAAGCAAGAAATGCTGGTACCTAGCAGTACCCCGCTCCTCTGTTCCAAGAGGTCAGGACAGCTAAAGAGTTCATACCTGAGTGCTCTATGCTTTCATACAAGCACCCAAAATTCTAAAGGTACAGGTACAACTTGAACGCAGTTTCTGCAACTTTATTACTCTCTTAGCATCTCAGGTCAAACTCCTGTGAATGAAGATCTCGCTCTGTGTTAACAGTGTCATAAGGGAAGGAGAAGCATGTGCTTCTACCTTATGTGTGCAAAATGGTGAATTGTGTTGTTTCTACACAGAGAAGTTTCTTACCTTGCGTGTTTGTAATAGGTTTTATCAGGTAATTTAAGTAAATAGATTTTTTTTTTTTCTTCCAAGTCAATTCCAATTACCTCTCTACAAGTTTCATAATAAATGTAATTGAGCAGTTCCTTACTAGAGGGTTTTTTTTCCTACAAGAAATATACTGATAAATGAAGTGAAGTCTTATAATGGGATACTTCTGATGAGGAACGAATGATGGAAAGATGAGAAAATGAAGTTTTACTATGAAAATAAGAACTAAAAATGTATTTAAGTGGAATGAAGACACTTTGGGAGGAAGGCCTTACCTCTTAAGGGCCAAAATGCTTCAGAGCTGCTAATAAATCTTGTGGTTGTCCTAATGCATGATGTTTTTTTCTTTCCCCTGCTTTCCAACTGCAGGCTCAAATGAAAGACTACCAGCGGGAGCTGGAAGAAGCCCGTGCATCCAGAGATGAGATCTTTGCACAGTCCAAAGAAAGTGAAAAGAAGCTCAAAGGTCTTGAAGCAGAAATACTCCAGCTCCAAGAGGTGAGATTGAAATCAAAGAAATTTGTTTTTCTTGCTAAAGTAAGAGGAAGATCAGAGAGGTTGGGTTTTTTTAAAAAAAAAAAAAAGTCAAATGCAATCTAGTGAAATGGGAGCCTGGAGATCTTTCTCTTCCCCCCTGCCCTAGGTCATTAGTGAGCTCCTTATAGCTTTGTAGGAATCGTTCCAGTAGTCTGGACCTCATTTCTCTGCCCAGGTAGCAGGAAAGCTTTTACTACTGCTTAAACAGACCTGAGGCCTCACTAAGATTTGCAAGATCATTCGAGAGTCTCTGAAAGGTCCAGTGCACAGTGTCAGCACTAAAATTGATTATTGGAAATACATAAAAGCCTAACAATCTCTCCAGTACCTCAGTGGACTGTTAAAGTCTGTGGAGGTTTACCACTGCCATCTTAGGTCCTCATCCCTTTCTCTAATAGGCATGTGGTCCCTCATTGTTGGCAATTCACATAAGAGATCCAAGTCTTGCTACGTATCACTTACCTCCCATTATCTCTTTGCCCTGCCACAAGGTCGAGTATCAGCAGAATTGCCTTGTGCGAGAGACTGCCTCTGGTTTTGTCCTGTATTAGCTGGCAACCAAAGTTTGAAGCCATTGCTCAATTTCACTATGCTTACTCTTTGAGCCCTTACAGATGACCTACAATTTACTAGAGCTTCTCCATGTTATTTTTTTGTGGACTTCAAACTTGTCAGTCTTGCACTTGCAGTGCATTTAATTGTCCTTCTTAGCAAACGCCTGCGTGTTTTGACCACATAATACAGTTTTATAATATGAGATTCAGTGCTGTTTATATGGTTGTGCTAAGCTTTTATTTTCCATACTTCGCTTGTATTCATGCTTACGTACTTTGTCAGAACCTAAAAAATACACTTAACTTAGTGCCCACTTTACGCTGAATGTGTTCATTAGAACATGTGACAGAATGGCTTTCTCCTGCTGTTTAGGCCTTGAATGTTACTGATCTTCACAGATTTTTTTTTCCTTAACTTTGTGCAAGGAACACTTCAGGGAACGGGAGAAGCAAATCAAGTGTAGTCATATGGCAGTTAAGGGGGAGAAATATCAAGATGTGTCCTGCTGGCTTCCACAGTTGCTAATCCATTTAAAGACCTTGGGGATATCACTTCTGGGAGGTGCTGTGCAGTGTTATTAGAAGGCTAAATTGTCTGCAGAAGTTTTGAGAACGCTAATGCTGTAATGAATCTGGTAAACCTTCGCAGGAGTTTGCTGCGTCTGAAAGAGCCCGTCGTCATGCTGAGCAAGAAAGGGATGAGTTGGCTGATGAGATTGCAAACAGTGCTTCAGGAAAGTGAGTCATCAAATGTATTAACTGGGCATCTGAAGGACTTAAGGCACCAGAAGATGCAGTTCTCTTGACGATTCTGTATTCATCTGTCTTCATGACAAAAATTCCTTGTTATAAAGAGAATTGCTGGCACAGTGGCTGCTCATGACAATTTGCAATGCCTAAAGTAGCCAGTTGCTTTGTATCAGACCTGAACGTGTCTTGACCCACATACTTGCTTTCTAGGTCAGCGCTGCTGGATGAGAAGCGCCGGCTGGAAGCTCGTATTGCACAGTTGGAGGAAGAGCTCGAGGAAGAGCAGAGCAACATGGAGCTTCTCAATGAGCGGTTCCGAAAGACCACGCTGCAGGTGAATCTGTTGTTGGCAACACGGTTGGGGCAATTTGTGTTTCAGTGTGCAGTTAAGTGGAGGCTCTGAATAGCATCAAATGATCTTCTGTTCTTCTCTAAAAGGTTGACACACTTAATTCTGAGCTAGCTGGGGAGCGGAGTGCTGCCCAGAAGAGTGAAAATGCACGGCAGCAGCTCGAAAGGCAGAACAAAGAGCTGAAAGCCAAGCTGCAGGAACTGGAGGGATCTGTGAAGTCTAAGTTCAAGGCAACAATTTCTACTCTAGAAGCCAAGATTGTGCAGCTGGAAGAACAGCTTGAGCAAGAAGCCAAGTAAGGGAAAAAAAAAATTGTTTGCTTGTGTTTGTTCTGTCAGTTCAATGTCTGAAATCTCCGTGCCTTACGTTTTTTGTAGAGCTGAGATGTGAGCTTACAGCACGGGCATTAGAGTTAGTTCTCCAGAAACCTCCTGTTTGAGGGACACACTGTAGAGTTATAGGACAGCTGTAAAGTGACTGGGATGGAAAGTTTCAGAATCTATTTGCTGCCACAAGGTGCTGCAAAAGTTTCTTGAGACAAGATGAAACATCCCCTTCAGACACTTGGTCTCTTTGGTTAGAAGAAGCAAACTGAACAGCTTGGGCCTGACAGCTTTAGTTAGTTGAGATGAATTCTGTGCTCTGCAGAAGTCTGCTTTCTCCAGTGAGTGCTTCCTGCCTGTCCTTTCCATCTTGGTCTTCAAGCTAGTTCCTCCCAGAAAAACCAAAGGGGGGCTGCCTTATCACCATCTCCAATCCTTTTGTGCTTTTGGCCTTGTAGGAGTGGCATGTTACTAGTTAGCGGTAACCCTAATGCTGCTCTGTTGAATCTCACTGTGAAGAAGCACCTCTCTGTCCCTCTCTTCAGCACGCATACGTGTTCATATTGCTCCAGTGCTGCTTTACTATTTCAAAGCTGCATCCCAGCCAGCCTCCAGCATATTAAAACCAATTTCTGTTGATGGTGGCAGGTACATTAAGAGGATTCAAGTATCAGTTACACTATGAGACGGGAGTCTTTTGGAAAGGGCATAGCTTGTGTTCCTAGCCTTCAGGTACTGAGAATAATTATGGAAGAAATTGAAAGAAGTCTTCATGCAGGTGGAGGATGAGCGTCGACATGCAGACCAGTACAAGGAGCAGGTAGATGGAGGGGCTTAGCTTTTGAGGCCTGTTTCTCTGAGAAGGCAAATAAAACCATACTTTGAGTAGAAAGGGCTTCTTAAGAAGCATTTTAGTGAAAACATTTGAGGGAACCCCCATCTTGATCACTAAACCACTGGAGTAGCTCCCAGCAATCAAAGCCTCCCCATATCAGCCCTGGTGCAATGGCCTGTTGTGTACCCTGGCATCCCAGGGTCCGGAGTTCTGAGGTGTTTCCTGGAGTCCTCACTGGAGGCTGCAGCGAGGCTGATGGTTCATCTCCAGCCAGGGTGGTCAGGGAGGACAGACTGCTGGCCGACCTCTCTGGCCAAACACATTGGGTTGCAGCTGCTGACTTTGATTCTGACGACCTCATTTTGTATTTTAGATGGAAAAAGCAAATGCCAGAATGAAGCAGCTCAAACGCCAGCTGGAGGAGGCCGAAGAGGAAGCCACACGTGCAAATGCTTCCCGACGTAAACTTCAGCGTGAGCTGGATGATGCCACAGAGGCTAACGAGGGCCTGAGCCGAGAGGTCAGCACCCTGAAGAACAGACTAAGGTAGGTGGTGTCAGTAGCAGTGGGCAGGGGTTTGTCCAAGCCCTTGTGTGCCCACAGGCTGTCTCTGTAATGTGTCCATGGGGAGCAGCCAGCTGTGGCACTGGCAGAGTGGAGCTGCTCATGTTAGGGGATGGGTCTGCTGGGAACTGCTGACCCAGCCTGATGATGGTAACAAGGAGGCTGCCAGGCCGCAGGGATATTCCTGACAACTCTGGAGCTTGAACTCTTTGGAGCTTACATTGCCAGGTCCCCTGGGGTCACCACTCCAATCCAGCCCTAGGTAAACGTGATGGAAGATGGCTCAGTCGTGTCTTTCTGGTGGCTGGTACTGATCCCTTTTTTCCTGACCCACTCTGGTGCAAGCGCCTCGGCGCTTTCCTTGAGAGCAGGTCATAGAATCACAGAATTGTTTGGGTTGGAAAAGACCTTTAATATCATCAAGTCCAACTGTTACCCTAACCCTGCTGCTGATCTCCGAGATCAGAATCTGTATCAAGTACAGATGGGAGCTGGCAAAGGTGAGGCTGGTGCAGAACAAAAACCATCTCGACAGGGAGAGCGGCTGAGCTGGTGGGGGTGTCGGAATGGCAGGAGGGTGCGGTGCAGTGCTTAACAAATGAGCAGCTGGTTTTTTTCCTTTTTTTTTTTTTTTTTTTTTGAGAACCCACTCTGTTTAGTACTTGGTCTGTGCTTGGGCAGAGGCAATATTTTAAGTTACTTGGGACTTGCCAAATTAAGGTGATGGTATAAAGCAAGCAGGAATACCAGGGTACCGGGACATGCAGCATGTTGACCCCTTGGCTGGAGAGGGGGTTTCAAAATGCTGTGTGTGAAATGTGCCCCATGGGCGGCCTGGAGCGGAGCTGCCACATTCCCCTGCACTTTGCTAGGGTGGTCGTTCAGGGGCAGCCACCAGCTCGGGCACGGGCTGTGAGTGAGATGCGACCCCTCAGCAATCGCTGTCTGCTTGTGGTTGGCAGGAGGGGGGGCCCCATCACCTTCTCCTCGAGTCGATCTGGGCGGCGCCAGCTGCACATCGAAGGGGCCTCGCTGGAGCTCTCGGACGATGACGCGGAGAGCAAAGGCAGCGACGTGAACGAAGCGCAGCCGGCCCCTGCTGAGTAGAGCCCCATCACACCCTTTGCATGCAGAGACCTTTACACGACAGTCGGCAGGAGGAGGAGGACTTCCCTGACCACCAAACTGCCTTGTGGCCGTAAACCTGCCTTAGCAAACGTCAGCATGCTACAAGGTTACTGATCATAGGTCAACCATGTCTTAAGGCTCTCCAGCCTCACCATGCTGTACCCTGCTTCCGATATAGGTACAACTGCTTTTTTATATAGAGTAAACAAAATGGGATCGTCTCTGTTCAGTGCATCTATTTTCCAGATACTCATCATAAAGCCATTTTATAAAGCATCATGTGAAGGATGAAACTCTTCTTTTTTTTTTTTTTATTTTTTTTTTAAATCAGTACAGAAGCTCCATTCCCAGAGGGTAGGTGGTTGGGACAGACCCCTTGTCATGATTATGCATGCTTTGTCGTACAGACACCATCCTTCCATTTCGTCTCTGCTCAGGCGGCCCTCGGCTGTGTTGAGTCTGTTGGATCATTGAAGACCAAACTGCACCCATATCTTTCTTTTCTCCTAATTGTTGTGATCAGCACACAATCAGCGAGCGAACTGTGAAAAGGCCTTGGGAATTGTTAGAGGGAAATATAGGGATGAATGACTAGTGTCCATATCTTTTTTTTTTTTTTTAACCTGCAATCTCATTTTGAAGTGTTCTCAGCACTCGCTTCATCTGTCAGTGTTCCTGCAGTACAGGCAAACTGAAACAGCATCGCCGCTCCTCATCTGTACAGTCCCTCTGCGTCCGTAGAGCCCCACTACCGCCATGCCCAACAGATCTGTGTATATATTAAGGCTAGTATAATGTGAACACCAGTGGAAAATGAACATACAACACAGGCAAAATTAATTTATTAATTTATGGCTGAGTTAATAAGTCTTCAGGACATGGAGCTGAGCGGCTGCGTGGTGAGCCGAGGCTTTCGGGCTACGTGAGCAGCCAGCCTGGTGTTACTGGGGGCGCTGGTCCGGCGGCTGCCTGTGCTGTGCAGCGTGGGGCTCGCACCTGCCTGCGACAGCAGGGGCTCAGCGATGGGGGTTGCCTGCCTACGAGTTAACATGCCAGTGGATGTGAACCCTTTTTGTTGTTGGTTTTGTGTTTTTTTTTTTTTTTGGGGTTTTTTTTTTTTTTATTTTGAACAGTATTACAGCAAGTAGTTAGCGTTCTTTTTGTTTAAATAGCGGAAAAACTGACATTACAGAAAGTGCCTTAGACACTACAGTACTAAGACAATGTTACACGTATAATTTGCCTATATAACGATGATTTAATGTATTAATTTTGACTGTGCTTCATATCATGTACCTCTCTAGTCCAAGCGGTATTACTGATATTAGTGACAATGAATCAGTGTTAATTAGGAAACTCCCTCTGCCACATGCTCAAAACCCATGGATTTCCTTTCTTTGGTTACAAGCTTTAACATCTGTCGCAAAGGTTTTGTTGTGTGTGTTTGGATATTTTTAATCAAACTGGCTGTTGACCACCAGGCATCTGACTGCAAATATCTTGTTTTCTTGTATACCCATATTTCTAGACAATGATTTTTGTAAGACAATAAATTTATTCATTATAGATGCGGCCGCCTGCTCTGTTTACTTACAGGACGAGCTCTCTCCTGAGGCTGGCATAGACCTTAATAAACGAGAATATGACTGGAAGCTGCCTTTTCCCTTCTTACTTTTTTGTTTGCTTGGTTTTTTGGTTTTTTTTCTTCTTTTATTTTGACATAAATACAGCACGAATGGCGTGGTCAAGGGCTGAGCCTCTGCCTTTGAATTTCAGTGGCAAGGCATGGGTGCAGCACAAAGGCAGCTCTGAACCTGGTGCTGATCCCTGGTTCTGTGGTGCAGGCACAGCCCTGGCCCTACCTTCTCCAAGCCCTGCTCTTTGCTGCGCGGTTTCCTTTCTTGGTGTTGGGTAAGGTTGGGGCTACTGGAAAGCTGCAGGTACCAGTGCCCTGGGGCTGATCCCTGCTGGGTCTGTGCAGAAAATGGGTACCAGGACGGGCCACTGTATGCACTGGGAGGGGACAGGAGGGGGGAAGGTGACTAGGATAAAACTGTGATGAGGGGGCAGAGGGTGGGGGGGTGACAGTATGGTGCCCAGGGGTGCAGCTGGAACCTCTGCTCCTGGGGCTGCTGCCCAGGGTGGTTCATCTGCTGCTACCTGCCTGGAGCTCCCCCAGACCCAGGGGCTGCAGGGAGCCCCCCTGGTCCCAGGCACCAGCTCCTGGAATCCCTCTCAGGCCCTGGCTCCTCTGCCTGGGGTACCCCCTTCCCCTCTGGCTGCTGCCCTCCCTTGCGGGTGGGACCCCCCAGGGAAGGGCACTGGGGATGGGGAAGGGGGCTGCACTTCCCCGGGCAGGGGCCAAAGGCCCAGGCTCTGCCCAAGCAGCTGCCTGTTGGGGGAAGGGGGGTGACTGCAGTGAGGGTGGTCCTGCTCCCCCCAAAGCACTGCTCCCCATGAGGGGCCCAGGGCCCCCCTGCCTGGCAGGAGCCAAGTGGTCATATTCCTGGCAGGGTCAGGGCCAGCCTGGGCAGTGCTGACCCCACCACCCGGCTGCTGGCTGTGAGCGGGTGGGGGGCTGAGCAGCTCCTCTGGGGGCCGGCAGCCTTGGGGGTCTCTCAGTGGCTGGGGGGGGGGCAGGGCCTGCCTCTATATTGGGCAAAACCCTGGCAAAGCCAAGGGTGCTGCAGGGGGCAGAGCTGGAGCAGGGCAGGCCCCGGGGAAGGGAAGGAGCACCCCCGAGAGGGGCCTGGCCCCATGGCAGAGGAAATGCCTTTCCTCTGCCTTTCAGCTACTGGAGGAGGCAAAAAGCCCCAGGGGCTGCAGCTGGAGGCCCAGGCTCTTCCCCAAATCAGCTGTGAACCATGGGCCTGTGGGCCTCGCCTCTGGGGCAGACCCCCCCTAGGAGCAGGGCTGGGGTGTGTGGAGGACCTGGGGGGTGATCAGAGACAGCCAGGGGAGCTTCCCCAAGGGCACGTCCTGCATGACCCACCTCTATGCTGGGGTGGCTGTGCCCGCGGGCAAGCGGGGAGCTATGGCTGTTGTCTGCCTGGGCTTCTGACATGGCCACCCCCCCAAACGTCCTTCTCTCTAAACTGGGGTGCTGTGGCTTTGCTGCGTGGGCTGTTTGGTGGGTGAGGAAGGGGCTGGGTGCTTGCAGCCAGAGGGTGGTGGGCAATGACTCAACGTCTGGATGGTGATCGGTGACGAGTGGTGCCCCTCAGGGTCCAGACTGGCACTGGTGCTGCCCAGTAGCTTCATCCAGGCCACGGCGAGTGTGAGCTTGCGGCTGACCCCAGGCCGAGCGTGGGGCGGACACCTGAGGGAGGGGACAGCAGCCAGAGGGGCCT